TTCCGCGGCACACCTTCATATGATCATTATAGTTATAAAAAAAACAAGAGAATAAAGGAAAAACAGTTATGAAATACTATATGGCAGTAAAACAAGAATACAGTTTGAAAGGGGAGTGATTTGTAAAATATCCATAAAGAAAAAGAACATCTGCTTACAGTTGTGTTTCATCTGGGTGTTGAGAGATGTATCCATAGATCTCTTAATTTTGCTCTCAAAGTGCACCAGATTGATGCTTTTAACTTCAATATTTAAAAAAAAATCTCCCCGGGGGAGCATCCCCCCGGACCCCCCTAGAGGAGGTGAGGTCCGCTCCCCACTCGTAAAAAAAAAGAACTTTACCCCTGCCTATATGCCGTGAGCTGATTATCGAGCCTTCATTGTAACAGTCGCGGGTTTAATGTGTGTTTGCGTGTGGGGAGTTTTTTTGTGCGTGCTCTATAGTGCCCGTAATAGTGTTCACTGGAGTCCAGCACCTCAGCACCCCCACTCAAAATACCTTCCCGCGCCTCTGCTACCAATAGAAATACATTGCTTTTAAAATCATTCTGTGTGACACGAAAAAAATGGGAAAATCGTGTTGGTGAACACGAATCAATAGATTACATTTGTTTCGTGACTATAACACGAAATGCCGTGACTATAACACGAAATGCCGTGAGACTGGTTTGTCTGGAGATGCTGGAGTGTCAAACCCCCCCCAAACAAACAAACGGTAGGGCTGAGCCACTATCATTACTCTTAAGTCTTCCACATTAGCATCATTGGCTCCACCATTGAAGTATCAGTTCTGAACAACTATTTCAACAATGTAACCTGTAACCCCATCAAATAATGAAGTAGCTTAAGCCTAAAATGTGCCAATTGCCTTTTGAAGTAGCCTATCACATGGTTAATGTTAGCCCTATAGGCAGTAAGCTAGTTAGCATGGCATGCTACATTACATCAGAGCAGATACCAAATGTGAATCTTAACAAGATGCTGTTCAGGAAAGGCATTCAGAAAAGGTCAATTAACTGTTGAAAATGAATATCAACTGGCAATGGTATTTGCCTTTAATGTTTGTCATCGAATACAAATGAATTTACAATTTTAATCAGCCATTAGAATTTTGGCAAAAACATGACATCCACACAATACACATCTTACACCTGAGATGAAGTATTTTCAACTCAATGTGGGACTATACACATTAATGAAGACAATACAGGATGGTCACAATTTGTGATGTGACACCTCCTTTAAACGGGTGTAGAATAACATTATTTCCTGTGAAACCATTGTGCTTTTATTACTGATAAATACCAAAAATAAATAAGGCCATATTTCCATTTTGTCATTTCTGCTTAATGTGCTTCACATGGCTTTTTCTTAAGTGAGACATTTGGAATTTATTTGTACCCTATGTTAAGCACACAGAAATGACAACCCTTTTTGCTCACAGGTCTTTTTCATCTCCTTGTTCGCATTAAGGAGCTTGGCATTCTTTCTACTTCATGTCTCAACTTCGCTGAATTATTCATGCCTTACAAGAAGCAATGCAACATATCTTAGCTTTAGGGAAAAAATACTCTAACTTTTAGCATTCCTAATGAAAGAGGATTTGAACATACAGAACGTAAAAACAAACAGAAGCCCATAATATTCAGGGTGCTGCTTTATTTAATTGAAATTGTACTTTACTTTCATTATTGTGAATCCATATGCTGATAAAGTAAGATACTTTTCCAAGATATAATCATTAGCTTTACTGCAAGATCTTTCGACAAGAACAGATGCTAACTGATAGTACATGATTTATTAGTTCTGAATATCTTAAAACAAAATCACAAAAAAAGGTGTCTATTTATTCCTGAAGAGACAAACCTCTCACACGCCACAATTTAAAAGTAAATAACCATTTTGTTCTGAAGTGATTGTTATAATAAGAGTTAAAGACTGCTAGCCTATGTTTGAAGCAAAGTAAGACAGATGGCTAATTGCTAATCTTTGGAGACCATTACTGTTTGAGTATAATATGTGTATACAAAGTGTGATTTGGCTATAGTGCTGCCTTCTGTTAAAGAGCTATCCCTACCTGACTAAATAGCACACCATCCACAACAAAGTATTTTTAATGCAATCTCTCCTTTACCTAAACCTAGTCTTTGGCAGATGGAGACAAAACCAGTCTACATAGTGTAATTAGGGGCTTGCCAATATTAGGTTCACCAAATAAAGTGCGTTAATTGACACAATAGTTATACGTAGATTCTATTTTAAAATATCTCCCATAATTTTCAAGATTATACTGTTATCTTTCTACACAGTTATCAATCTAGGAACATACAGTTAATTATCTTGATGTAGAGCTTATGTTGTTTTCTTTTGTACATCAGTTTGTAGATATATAAGGAATACACTGCAGAAAGATTGCGTTGACCAACTGGAAACACTTCCTGCATACAGCACATCGGCTACCTACTGTACAATACCATCTCGCCATTTTCCAAATCCTTTCCCGTTTGAATGACACCTTTGCCACCATCTAATTTTACATGCAGAAGAAACAACAGTATCTGCCCAACAAAGTGGCTTGTGAACCACTTTTGAATGTGAGTTAGGCTGTCCAAGACAGACATTGTAAATGGCAGGATATGCCGGCATATCTTGTTATAGGCAGGTAATTACTGAGGTCCTTGGTCGGTTTGACATCCTTTGTTTTATGGGATCAGGTATTCTGCCCAATGAAAATCATCTGAGAAGTTACCCAAAGCTTGGTGTCACTTTAAATGTAATATGAATACAGGTTTAGAAGTTATCTTATTCTCATATACTAACGTGACAGCACTGCAGCAACAAGTATTTTTCTTAAATCTTTACTCTTTTATTATAATGGTGTTAACCTCACTATATTTATGTACTTTCTACAACATTGAGCCAAGAGCCAATAGCCATAAAATATGACCAGAGGCTCTCACAGCCAAAAATACGATCTCTATTATATAATTTTGCAAGTGCAGCAGGGCACTCACTCTTTTTTTATTGGGACTTTGGCTCATTCCTTGGGAATGTCTTTTGTTACCATATTTCATGTGCAAAGAAAACCAACCGCATCAGGGCAAGATCCTAACGGTAAACAGTCCTTAGTGTATACCAGACAGGAGGCAGCATAAAACTTGTCACATGTAGCACGCACTGTCTGAGGTGTCCCCTTTTTGTTTAAAGTACCATGACCATGCAGGCCCTTAAAGTCAAACCCTTCTCACTCCTCACTCTCCTCCTCATCCCCCTTGGTGCCTTTACTCCAGCGCTGGAAGCAATGAACAGTTGAAGCCAGGAAGAAGCTTGTCATGATGGCCACCACAGACACAGAGATGCCAGAGAAAATGATGATGAGCAGGTCTGTGAGAGTCAGTGTGGCCTGGCACTCACGGAAGCTTTCCTTGGAGAGCTGGGTCAGGGAAACACGTCTGCCGTCCATGGGGAGGGAGCACTCCATACCTTCCACCCCTGCATTTGAAACAGCAAATTGGATTAGACAGATTTACTGGACATGCCGAGTGGCAGTGAATGATGTCATATTTAAGGACGTTTAGATGAATATATTCATATGGCAGCCACTCAGAGATGACATCATATAAAACAATAGGCACAACGTGTGGCTACATGTGCTGTGTGTACACCACAAATGCTTTTATTTCCCCACAGATGTAAAGTGATGCATATTTGCCCATTAGAGACATTTTTCAAACCTGATCAGATATAGAGTGCGTATTTGATTCAGAAAGTGTGCTGTTGTGGAAGATGACGATTCAAGAGAGCAA